TCCATATTTATCTTTCTAATTGATATCATCTAATTCTATGGCTTTCAACATTAGCTAAGCCATGATGAACCTCAAATTTGTGTCACCTGCTCTTACTTCAAGATTTTTATCTGTGAACTTGATCTATGTACTGTCTTATATTGTTGACTCTACATTTCTATACTTGTATGCCTATTATGTGTCTCCTACTTACCAGATACTAAAGTTGTGATATTTTTCCCCTTGCAACTTTCCCTTTCCTCCCATGACCTCCTTACTATAGTACATGATAACTACATTCTATTAAAGCTTGGGGTCACCTTGACTCCTCTTTCTCTTGCATGTCATATCCAGTCTTTCAGATAATTCTGTAAATTCTATTTTCAAATATGTATCCTGTGTTTAATCCCTTTTTATCACCATTCCTGCTCTCATGCTATTTTATGCCACCATTATATCTCATGCAGATTTTGCAATAACCTCTTATATAGTCCCCCTACAGCAATCCTTGCCCCATTGCATGATAATTTACACAATGTACTCCAAGATAACTTTAAAATACAAGGCAGACCACACCTTCCTGTCTCAAAGTGCTTCAGATAGCTTTGTGTCACCCAGAATAAAATCTGAAGATTAATTCTCAGCGGCTTACACAATCTGGCCCAACACTGCCTTTCTGACCCCTTCTTCTAACATCCAGATAGTAGCCCACTATGATTTAGTCACACTCATTTGTTCTTCCTCAGCTTTGCCAAGTAAGGTCCCATCTTTGCATATATAATTGCCATTGCCAGAGTCCCTCTTCTAAGGTGCTGTGTGACTCCTTTCGCATCAGTTCTCTGCTTCTATTTTTTTCTCTAGAAGCTTTTCTCTGGCCACCTATCTCCTGCTCTTTATCCATTCTCCTGCTTTTTAATTTTTTATATAACTTATTAACAATATAAGAATATAAGTTTATATTTCTTAATTGTATTGTCTAATTCTTCCCTTCTGCAGACCTAAAAGGTAAAGTCCATGAGGGTAACAACTTATCAGTTCTATTCAATGCCTTTTACTCCCAGAACTTAAAATTCTTTGAACATGAAAAATGCAGTAAGTACTTGGAAAAAAAAATAGTGGATAAATGAATGTGGAACTCCGTTTTGGATAATAAGTGAAAAATTGATATTTAAAAACCTTGGGAATTATTTGAAAAAACCGAGTCATTGGTAGGTGTTCTGTTGTGTCAAACTGACTAAAGTGAGACTTCCAGTACATAACACAAAGTAAGAATGGATTAAAAAAAATAATAGTGATCCAAGGCTACTAATGTTTCTGGCAACTATCCACAGAATATCAGCAAAATACAGCATGAGCCAGCTTGGTGTCTGTGTGTGATATTAGCCCATATTTCTCCTTCCAGAAAGAAAAAGCACACCCACATAAAGCAAATGAGGTGAAAAAAAGGCTGGCAATGAGTTATAAATTAAATTAGTAACATTCTCATTGGTTTATGTTTAGAGAGAACAAGGATGTTAGTCTGGAGCTAAATGAGGACAGTTTAGATGTTTAAAAAATTTATTCCAACTTGAGATTTCTTTTTGAATACTTTTCTAGAGAAACTGTAGGTACTTAATAACCATCTTCTTTTCTAAATCCAAATCTGGAATGTATAACATGACAAATATGATTTTTTTTAGGGGAACACCAGGACAAAGTATAAAAATTAGCACTGGCTTAAAAAATGTAGGATGTTTAAGTACAACATATATGTCTCTGAAATGCCATTAGGAATTTTAAATGAATGAATGACCCCAGAACAAAAGAACAAGCAGATGCAGTATAGAAGAAAGATGGACAGTCAAATATAAGACAGCTGAGCTAGTTCAGTTTGAATGATAGACACAATATGTGACAAACCCAGCCTTAGAAATGAGTTCCGATGAGGATTAATAGTTTGAATCTTGGCACATAATCGAGTAAATATTCACTATCTCAAAGAAATCATTATAGGAAGATGGGGTAGAAAAAGAAGTTTACCAGAAGAGTTGGGCTTCTTTCCTTTATACTCAACAATTTAGGGTTGGCAGTTTTGACACCACGTAACTCTAATTCATCAAAGAACTAGTTTCAACCAGTGTTTTGTGTACCACTAGCAGATATACATGTGCTAAACATACCTTATTGATGTCTCACTAGCGATGTGCTTTCAATGTCTCACAACTTTGTGTTTCCGAGTTCTATATGCAAGGCTGTGATTTTTCTATTCAAGAGTTTCTCTCTCTCTCTCTCTCTCTCTCTCTCTCTCTCTGTGTGTGTGTGTGTGTGTGTGTATGTGTGTATGTGTGTGTCTTTCTTTCTCAAACATTAGACGGCAACACAGGAGACTTGATTAGTGGTTTGAGGATAACACATACATTAAAATTTTATATAAATCAATGATTAAATTCTAACTTCAATAAAGGAATGAAACAAATAACATTGTAAGATCTTCAAAATGTAAGAAGGAAGATTCAAAATACTTTATTTTATAGATGAAAGACTGGGACAAAGGAATTACACATAACTACCCAACATAACACATAAGTTAAGAGAAAAGCTAAAATGAAAACCCAAGTTTTCTAACCCTGTAAAGTGTTCCTTTTATTTCATCGATTCTCAATCTTGGTATCTTTACTACTACAATCATTTTATAAACAAAATAAAACACAACAAAACAAACTTTCCCTTCATAAAGCAAAATATTAAATATTAAATTTACATTTATAGGTCTTTAGTTGCTATGTTTTCAGAACATAGCAGAAATATTTTCAGAATATTTTGGGGACTGGAATTGAGGGAATACTGAAGAGTAAACATTAACCAGTCTTCCTAAAATCAGCACCTATGCCATACAGAGTTTACTGATGATTTTAAAGGTTGCTGGGAGAGGTGCAAAGTATGTGCTGAAGGGTATGGACTTGCCACCTACTGTGGCTTTCAGTGGACTTGTTATTTGTTTAAGGAATGAAAACACCACTCTGGCTTTGTAGAGCTTATGCTACAATCCAGTGTCAGTAATTGTAGTTTTTCCTCATTATTTGTATGTAATATGTAATTCTATATTTTCCTGACAAATCTTTCCACACCTAATTAGTTCACTAGTAGTTTGAGAAAAAAAACCATAATAATCTTCCAGGTGTTCAATTTGTCAACCTTAAATGAATCATGTTTCATTGTTGCATCATGCTGTATGATTCTTAAATATCCTATATTATTATTTCAAATCATGAGACTGAATAAAAAAAAACATAACAAGTATAAATGGCTCAAACCTAGAGTCATCCCTGTGACTGGTGATGTAAATTTTTCATATAATAGTTATTTGGGAGTAAAAAGAGATACTTTTGTTAACAAGATGAATATGCATTCAGAGATAATATGCAAAATTTAGGAAGATTCAACTTCTTGAAGCCAAAGGCTGTTTCCTGTTCATCTTAAAACCACTGTGCTTAACACACCAGGTACACTACTAAGACTTGCTGATACTTATTGAGCATTTACTGTGTGCTGCAAACTTTAATTATATGCTTTTACATTAAAAAACAATTCTTTGAAAAATATATCATTACAATTCCCATTTTATACAAGAAAAAACTGAGGTTTTAGGAGATGAACTAACAACATGGCTACGGAAAGTGAAGTTCGACTCCAGCATCTACAATATAACTCACTTATGGTATTGTTCTAAAAAATGTTTCCTAAGGTGAAAAAAAATTTTTTTAAAGAGACTGTGTCACATAGAAGACATTCTGATCACATGCCTGCATCTTTTTCATTTATTAATAAAGCCATAATTTAGAGTTGATTTTAATCCAGGGAGTGAAAAACATTTATTTTACAGCTGAAGACTCTTTTGCTCATGTCAGTTCACTACCTAGAAGTAATTTACAAATTACTCTCTAAATTGCTACACATAAGGACTTGTATCATACCTAATGTATAGAAATCTTTTGCCTTACCATGGATACCTCTATTATCATCTCTTTTCTGATACATCAGACTTGTTACTGGGCCCTTACTCATTTTTATTCCCAGATTGGTTTCCTCTTTGCAAAAATCTCCCTCCCCCCCAAACCAAACACACATCGCTTTCTAGTCTATTTATATACAGATGATAGAAAACTTACAAGAAAAGATAATCTTGACTGAAGATGCTCATAATTCTCTTCACCAGAGATGAAAAAAATAGAGAATACATCTAAGTGGCAGCAGAAAAGTTTTAATTTATAGAGTAGGGAAGTGGAATATACTCTGTGCAACAACTTTGAAATAAATTAATAAGCAAAAATTTCTTAAGAAGTTCTTTGAAATTAGGACATAACATTAATTCTCAGAATTTTTTTTCTGTTTTTTTTTTGAATTGGAATCTCACTCTGTCACCTGGGCTGGAGTACAGTAGCATGCTGATGGTGGACCCACTGGGCTCTGGTGATCCTTCCACCTCAGCCTTCAGAGCAGCCATAACTACAGGCGTGTGCTACCACACCCGGCTAATTTTTTTAAGTTGGACTCTTGCAGAGACGAGTTCTCCTCAAGTTGCCCAGGCTGGTCTTGAACCCACGGGCTCAGGCAATCCACTTGCCTCGGCCTCCCAAAGTGCTGGGATTACAGGCTGAGCCACCAAGCCTGGCCAATTCTCAGAAATTTCATTGTATGATATTTACTCTTCACTACCATCAACTTGAGAATACCTATAAATATGAACCACACCATTTTGTTTAAAGTAGGTCTTGGGTCTCCTTAACCCTGTGTATCATAATCCTTGGCCTATGAGTTTTGAAGAATCCAATATGTAATTTAAAAACATTTGACAGCATGAAGTTAAATGGGACAATGGTTTGGTCACCCTATAATTTCCTGAAAAGCCCAATAAAGTGAAACAGACACAAACCCAAGTCAAATTTTACATAATGACATAGATACACCGATGCAAAATTAAAACATTTCCACCTGAGAATTCAAGAAATATACTACCTTGCCCCAAACCGGTAAGAATCCGATTACCACAAGGATGGATAGTTACCCATGGCGAAGAACGGGATTCCCAGCAGGGTGGAGTTGTACTTTCCATCTGTGATGAAGAAGATCCCTGCTGCTGTGATGATGGAGATGCAGACTGTGAGCACCCCCAGGAGGCCCAGGAAGGGCTTGCTGCGCAAGCAGTCCTTCATGGAGCTCGAGAGTGTGGCTGTGGTCAGGATCAGCACAAGGCTCACCAGGACCTTGCTTCTGGCCAGGATGCTGGTCTTATGAAAGTCTCTCCAGAGGCTAAAAGATGCTAAAGAGTAGAGCTGGAGGTCTTGGTGCTCCTCCTGGAGCTTCCTCATAAGCTTACAGAACTCATTCTCCCACTTCTCCCCTATGAGGTCTTGAGTGGCAGAGCCATAGGTCTGGAGGTAGTAGGTGATTTGAATGGCTCTGGCTGACTTGACCCGCTGGTCTTTGCTGTTTGGCACTTCCACTACCCCGCCCAGTTGGTGTCCAATAAAACTGTTCCTCCCATCCTTGAAAACAGAAAAAGGTGAGACTTAAGTTACCAGAAGGATGCAAATTCCAAGGAACAGATTTTTACTCTAAGTGAAAAAGCACAAGGAAGGCAGAAATTAGTGCTAGTCATTGTGAAACTGATGTGGGTGGAGAGGCAAGTTAGGATTTTATATATTAAACATTTGGAGGATTCCATGCTCAATGATCAAGATTAAAAATATGTAGAGTATTACAAAGCTACATAAAAATGCCACATGTGGGAAAAAATATTTGCCAACTGTATATTTGACACAGCCCTAACATCTAGGATCTATAAGGAACTCAAACGTGTTGAAAAGAAAAAAACAAACAGCCCCATTACAAAGTGGGCAAAAGATATGAAAGACACTTCTCAAAAGAAGACATATGAGCAGCCAACAGATACATGAAAAAACACTCAGCCTCGCTAGTCATCAAAGAAATGCAAATTAAAACCACACTGAGATACTACCTAATTCCAGTAAGGATGGTCATCATCAATACTCAAAAAACAACCAATGCTGGAAAAGATGAGGGGAAAAGGGCACACTTCCACACTGTTGGTGGGAGAGTAAACTGGTACAACCTCTGTGGAAAACAGTGTGGCGATTCCTAAAAGATCTAAAAATCGACCTTCCATACAACCCCACAATCCCTCTGCTGGGAATATACCTGGGGGAACACAAATCACTTTACGAAAAGATACCTGCACACACATGCTTATTGCAGCATTAATCACAATAGCAAAAACATGGAACCAACTGTGCTGCCCATCAAAAGAGGACCAGATAAAAAAATGTGGTACATATACACGATGGAATATCACACAACCATAAAGAACAAAATTATGAACCTCACAGCAACTTGGATGGACTTAGAGTCTACAATACTGAGTGATCTATCACAGAAACAAAGAGCAGAGTACCACATGTTTTCACTCACAAGTGGATCTTGAACAATTATAAGGGATTGGCAGTAATGGGAAACTGCCAGTGGAGGGAGTGGCATACCTGCATAACAAACATTTGTATACTTAACCCTGAATCTTACCCCTCATCTTTAAAATAAAAAATTTAAAAATTGCCACATGCATTGAAAAATGTGAATAAATATTACCTTGATCTCATCCATGCCCTATCATTCCTGTTTCCTTTGCAACAGTCTATTATAAGTCCTTAACACAGGACCAAGTTTTAGAACTCAGTCAGCCAAAAGTGAAGCATGACATGTACTAACAACATTTTGAAAATTGAAATAATTATCCATTCTATAAATGTATGCTGATCTTTCTAGGTTATATACACTGACGCCAACATTCATACAAATATACACAGACAAAAATACATTTTTTTCATTCTCTATATTCTGCGGGGGCATAAATGTATATTGCAAAGCAGTGCAAAAAACACTGTTTCTTATGATTAATTTAAGGGAGTTGAAATGTTTCCTAAATATGATGTGAGCACCTGTTCACTCATTACAGTGTTCTCTCCAAACACTTGCCTCAGAGACAGATTGACCTTTTCTTACATATGACAGTAGACAAGTTTCCTCAATTGAGACTGATAAAATTTTCAGATTTAGTTGCCAAAAGTCATTTCAATCTCAGAGTTTGACATGAGGTAGAGTAGGCAAGATCAGAAGAGTAGGATATTGGCAAAAGAAACAATAACTTCTCTTTCAGGCATCCATAGGTAGACACGAAGTTACTTAGATTCAGAGCAGTAATTCTCATCCAGAGTGCCTTAACACTCAAGAAGAAATCCCAGACCAAATTATAATCAACTTGGGAATTTTATTATTGCCACAACTGCCATGTACTTCAATGGTAATGGTTGTCAGAATACTGGGGCCACTAGCAGGCTGCACGATGAAAAATAGTACTAAAAATATGCTGCAGGTACTGGGTAAGAAGTAGGTACAAAAGTATATTCATGCCTTTAGTAGACTGTCTGTCAGCTGAAACAGGTAAGATATTTATCTCAAAATGGCATAAAAGAGTAAAGTCATGGTAGGAAACAGTTTTTTTTCCAGAGTGGATAATGCAGAAGGCCAACACACCCAATAGTGTGATAACCATGGGTGTTTTTATAGAACTGTGGGGCATCATATATACTATTAGACACATGTCACAACTACTGTGGACTTGTTTAGACCAGACACCTGTATTTGAGGTACTTGCTTGTATGTTAACTTCCATCAAAGCACCCTAAGCAATAATTGAGAGTGTGTTGTATAAACAAAAAGTTTAAGAAGTTTACAGAGAGTACAAATATTGTTAGTAGGATCATCAAGAATTGCAAGAGAAATTTCATAGTCACTCCATATGCCCATTTCCCCCCACATGCCATGAATACAATCATTTTGTTTAACTTAACCTGAGCAGCTCTAAATGAACAATATATTTCTAAATATGATTTGATTTGAGGGTCTGTTTTTTTTTCCCTCAAAGAATCTCCCACTTCTATGGCATCTTTGTAAGTTCCCATTTCTTCCCCTATAAAAATCAAATGGAATTTTGGGCTGTAGTGCCTAAGGTGCTTGATCAAATCCCATGGAGTTCTTCAATAAGCCACAAGCAGAAAGGTAGAAAAGTTTGAGGAAGGAGGAGGAAGGAATCCTGTCCCAGAACTGAGAGATTAGGAAATACAGTTTCTACTCTTTGAGTAGACACACATTGCTCCACAATTAGGTATTTTTTTTTTTTTTTAGTATTAAGTTTGGCATAATTTTTAACTCTACCCTTATTTCTACTCCTTTGGAATCCCATCTTTGATGGTGACTTGTACTTCTAATTATTTGAAAGACAGTGTATTTTTAAAGCATAATTTAGTTACTTAAGAATGTGCAGTTCTGTCTGTCTTTACTCATTTCTATCATCAAAAGATTTCTCAGCAACATAAAGATACAAGTATCCCTTAAGCCTCACTTAGAGATTATAGTGGATAAAAGTGTTGATCATGTATCTGAACAAAAGTCAAAAATTTAAAGAAGGAAAATACAGATTTTTAAATAACAGATTGTCATGGAGTTCAGCTAGCTGCTAACTTCCCTTCTGAAGTTGTTGAATTTCCATTTTTACAGAAATAGTTTATAAAAGATACACTTTCATCCTATCTTTCCCCATCATATTTAAATCAGCAAACCAAGTAGAATGAGTTTCTTGCTCATATCCTTCTCTATCCCATGTACCAGAGCAAAAGAAATAAGATATTTGGATGTTCTGGAATCAAAAGTTCCATTGAAATGTCCAAATATTGTACCTGCAATTTGCTCAATTATCTTACTCATTGACTAAAGAAGAACAGCAATGGGCAGTGGGATACATCATTTCAATACCTAAAACCTGCTGCTGACTTCCTCTAACACCATGGATAAAATAGAAGCCCCCTTACTGGGCCTGCCAAGTCTAGCATGGCCCATAGCTAGAAGAATCCTCAGACATTATCTCCCACTACTTTGTTCTTCTTTGCATGAACTCTGCTCCATCTTTTTTGACTTTTCTTCCTACTCCTTGAACACACCAATTTAATTTCCCCCACATGGTCTTTGTGTCTGCTGTCTCCTTTTCATGGAATGTTTTTCTCTATTCTTCTTATGGCTAGGGCTACTTCCTGGTCATGGAAATCTTCAAAGAAACCATTTGAACAAGATGAGCTAAACTGGACACTGCCTTCCTTGCAATCATTCTGTTGCAGAGACCTATTTTATCTCCTTCCTATGAATGATGAATACTTGAAATGGTCTTATTTACTCATTTAATTGTTCCTTGTCTGTGTCCTCTGTTAGAATGCATGTTTGTTGAAAGATGACACTGCTCCTGTTTTGCTCACTGATAGTTTCTTTGTGTGCAGAACACAGCCTGGTATATAATAATAAACACTCCATAATATTTATTAACTGAGTAAACCATCTTGAGGTGTATACAACTAATTGTAGGTTACTTTTTGGAGACTACTTTGCTAAGACGAGGAAAAATAAGAGACAGTTCAAAGTGCCTAAAAATAGTAGAGATTCAAATGAAAAAACACATACATAAAAATTACACTTATAATACCATAAGAAAGGGATTGGCAGTAGCCAGAAACTACTGCGGGGGAGGAGCACACAACATCAAGAAGGGTACCTAATCTCAAACCAGGTGAAATGGGGATCAAAGGGAGACCCAAACTTTATCTGTACAATGACCACTTGTATAACTATTTCTGTCATCAAAAGATTTTCTCAGAGATCTTTGGCAGCAGCATAAAGATATATGCATCACTTAAGCCTCACTTAGAGATTATAGTGGATAAAAGAGGGTGTTGATCATGTGTCTGAACAAAAGTCAAAATTTTAAAGAAGGCAAATATAGATTTTTAAATAACAGATTATCATGGATTGTACCCTACATCTTTAAAATAAAATAAAATAATAAAAAAATTAAAGGGTGGTAAAGAAACAAACAAACAAGCAAGCATTATCCTTTATTCTGTCCTCTTAGTCTAGTGTAACATTTCCCCAAAATATGTTCTTGTTCTATTTTCACTGTACACCAAATGTGTACGGCAAAATAGTCAACAGACAGGGGGACTTAGGGAGTACCAAGGAAAATAATTTGCATGTATCATAGCCTGGAGGAAAAGGACAGAATAAGCTGATCAGGGAACTACAGTGCGTAATAAGATTTGAGGCTAGAGAAGGAAGTGGAACCTCTTCAGAAAGGGCCATGATAGCCTTATTAAAGAGTTGTACTTAATTGTCTTTCATTGTGAAACTACTGGTGAGTTTTAAGTGAGGGCTGGCATGATTTTACTTTTTTAAGTTTTCACTTTCATTGCACTGTGGAAAATGATTTAAGAAGTAAAGGTGATTCCAAAGAAAGAACTCAGTTAGGAAATCCCTGCAGTATTTCTAGTTCTTGATGCAGCATAAGAAAATGTCAGCTGAGGCAGTTTCTGGTAGGTAAATTGCTCCAAGGTGAATCAATGGAATTACAGGTCATGATGCTATCTCACGG